ATTGTGTAATTAACCACATTTGAATCGGTAAAATATAAGTATCTATACTAAATATCTTACAGATTACAATTCAATAATGTTTGTGTGTGTGGTGTATACATTTAACTTGGCACAGGTAAAGGACAAAATAATATTTGGAGTCCTGCATGAAAAATTACGTTGAATTAATTCACCGTAATACATTTTTACAAGTGACAATACAAAATAAAACGAGGACAACACATGCGGGTACCTACAACGTTCTCTTAAGCGTATTCATCTGAAAAAAAAATTTAATGAAGTCCTTGATTATGGTTCATCGTGTAGTTTTAAGTTGAAACACTTAATACACAGAACGACTAATAGTTTTTAATATAGTATTTAATTTTTTTAAGTCTTTAAAAAAATCCATTCTTAAGAAGTGAAAAAGTAAACTGCTTTGTTATGTAGTAGGTGTCGAGTGTATCACAACAATAAGTAGTAAGTCACCATAATGCTGTATGTGTTTAATTTGAATTCAATAATAAATCATTGCATATGAAAAACCATGTCAGCCTATATATTATTATTAAGACGTATATCTTATGATGTATTCATTTTACTATTAAAATAATACAATATAGGTTAAATTAATTTTTACCAAAAACATTGCACTTTACATACATTTTTAAATTCATAATCCGGAGCAGAGTATTATTTGAAATATTTTGATACATTTAAATTTAAATTCAATTAAATAGTTCAGAAGTTATAAGTAGAGGACGGATTTTTATGCACTAAAAAGTATTGAAATATGCCATATAATATACAGTAAAAATCATAAAAATATACAGCAAATATGCAAGTAATTTTTTTTTATTTATATAAAATTCACAAATTAAACAACTTACAATAATTAATTACTTAAATAAAATAAGTACCTAAAAAAATTTCATTTTAATATGCAATAGATTTTAAATTTTTTAAAAATATACAAAAATATACAAATAAAATTTCATCATTAGATTTAAATTATCACGATTCGTGAAGAAAACTGAAATAAATCTAAAAAAATTAAAAAGAAAATAATAATATGCGATTGCATATAAATCCACGCTCTAATTATAAATATTTAAATTTTAGGTGACCTGTTTAATTTTAGCTGCTAATTTTTAAGTGCATTTTAAAACTTTAACTGATTTAGCTCTTTCCACAAACGTTCATAAATGTTTTACACGTGCATTGTGCACATTCAATTTGTTATAAATTTTCTACTTCAACAACCTCTAAGAAAATAGAACTAAGAGTGGATTCCCATCCGGTTGATAGGTATAGTCAAACAATATGAACTAGTAAATAAATATTTTAAATGCATAAGTATTTATACATCGAATTCGTTCTATTAGAAAATAACAACTTCATCAATAATAATACGTACCTATCTACGCGTTATATTCTTCGCTCGACTTATTTTATTTTAAACCACATGGCACCTAAGTCGAAATTATAACGCAATGGCAAACACGTATAATAAATAATAATGTCATCACTGTCTTTGTTCAATATACCTAATTATTTCTACGCCGATAACAAAGTGTAACAATATAATATGTGGATATAATGTATAACGTGTAATTTATTAGTAAATACCTACTATTATAATGTGTTACTCACTTGAGTATTGTGCGTAAAAACGCGTAGGCATGATGATAATGTCCATCCGGCTTGGTACGCGTATGATGTGTATATGCGATTGGTGTTTTCGAGAAATTCTTTTTAAAGATGTTTCCGGGAGCGTTGAACAACAAAAACAACATTGTTGAAAAATATTGTCTTGTGTTGGACCGGAGCCGCAGCGTGGCGACAGGACGTTCGTCTTGGAAACTTTAAACAAAACTAGGATAGTATAGGATATAAAATCATCAGTTATCGGAATAAAAATCAAATTTTTTTTTCAACAACAACGTACGAAACACCAATGGAAATGTATCTTATTATTAATAGGTATGATATTATCAATAATATTACTGCCGAACGAGTATCCACCGATCAGGCAATAGTATGGTTGAGCTGCGCTATTTAGATAAAATGTACAAAGTATATTGATGTCTAATATACAAAATTACTAATTGGCTGTATATCGTAGGTATTTCTATCTATTTTTATTATATATTTTCAATGAGATACGTTAGGTACGATTTATTTTTCGTATCTATAATTTATAAACTTGGTAGTTTAAACAAAGAATATTCTTTCTATTTTCTATAATATATTTGGAGATTATTGCTGGAGAAAATATAAGTACTTGGCGTGATCGTTATTTTCACTAAAAAAATTCTCATCTCTAAGGTAAAATAATTATATATTAACTAAACAAAATTGACAACATTTTATAGGTACTTAAAATCGATAAAAAAAAAGAGATATTGATTGTCTGTATATTCTTTGTTTTCGAAAAAATGCAATGTAATCAAATTTCTATATTCACCTTAATTTTTTGAGAGTAGAATTAAGGGTATGTAAATTTAAGCTTTTACAAATTATAGGTGCCAGAAATTAAAATTGTCCTGAAGATAACTTGAAATTTTTTTTAAGTAATATATACTCGATTTACAATTACTTTTTAGTTTTAACAAGTATTTTTGATAAAAAAATAAAAAAAAAAATTTATATTTTAATAATATTGTATATAATATTATTTCTAAATAAGCCATTAATCATTGTTACATTCTAAATATTAATTATTTGAAGTTTTCATTCGTCATACGATCTATCTAATAATTCTTTACATGGAATTACATTTTGACATCGTAAATAACACGATTCTATTGAAATTTAAAATCATTTTTGACGGAATTATAACCAAAACATCAAAATAATAAAATGACCATTTTTAATTTAAAATAAATTATTTAATATGAATATACGAATAATATGTTATGATTACTGTCTTATACGAGTAGGTGCTATTTAACTGTAATACATTTTATTTCGGTTAATTATTTTCAAATTAAAATCGAAAACAAGACTTTGTTTGATATACTTATTATTATTTGCTCAGATATCGGTGTTATTTTGAGGTAATGACCAAATAATAATAATTATCTTTCCTAAGAATCCTTAAAGCCATCCATTTAAAAGTTAAGTTTGATAATATATTACATTAATGATTAATTACTTATTTTATGCATTAAAAATGTTAACATAGTAATATATTGGTACCTATACTTGCCAATAATATTATAATCTTAGTCTTATCTTTTCAAGACATGGAAATTATTATGATTGAATTTCAATTTGTAGTATCTAAATTTATATACACGCTTTCTATAAGTAATCGGAATATTGTTAAATTGATAAAAATCAAATTTACACTATATGGTATCTATTAATTCATAATTGTAACGAATTTCTTTATAATAATAAAACCAGTGTGAGATTTAGGATGATTGTTTTAAAAAAAAATGTATTTTCTTAGAAAAAAGTTTTTAATACTGGATTCAAAAAAATCTAACCCATAAGAACGAAAATGTATCTTTGATATTTTTAAAATGAAGGTATATGTAACTGCTCATGCCCATGGTCTAATAAAATATACTTGGATAGCCGTCACCAAAGTGGTATACTTTTAAATAAAGGACTTTCTAGTTCCTACTAAAAATACTCAAAATATAACGGTTGTTAGGTATTATAGTTCACCAAATAATGGTGGAATATTTGGATAAAGGCGTCTTAGTGTAGTGGCATCCTCATATAACGGTTGAGGAACGTATGAGTAACATACACAGGTCACTGAAACTGATAAGTGTATTGACGCATCAACTATACACACCTAGATAAACGGGCTACGTGTTTTATTAGATCGGAAGTGAATTAATGTTCATAAATATATACTATAGAGGCGTATATGGTTGGTGTTAATGGAGCTGAAGTTTCCCCTTCAAAGTTTCAGTGAATATATTTAAAAATTAAGTATTTTATAATATGCATTCATCAATTTATGTCAGCTGTTCTCAACTGTTTTTTTGTTCCGTACCCCTAAATTTAATATTTTGCTATATTGTACCCCTCATTATAATTTTTAAACTTTTTCATATAACTACTTTTAAAATATTTAAATAAAAAGTAACAAACAATTATATGTTACATTCTATACTCATATAAATTTTATAAGTTGACGGTTAAGTTTAAATTTGTGACACAAATTTTCATTTTATTTATTTTATCAGGAAATTCAATTAAATAAATAATAATCGACAACTAATAATACGAATTGGTAACATAAGAGGTTATGTGACCAACATTTATGCAATAATAATAAATAATAATTAAAAAGAAGCAAAAATTGGAACACCAATCTAAGGTAATATTGTTCACTCATTTACTTTATGTTCGTTAAATCGGTTTTAAGTTTCAAAATATTGATTAAAAGAAAATTGAATATTTTTTTAATGTATCTACACTTTTTTTTGGATAAAACCACAATAAAAGTTATTTAATTTACTATAGACGTATAGACTATATAATACGAGTAAAATATTTCAAATTTAATTTCAAATGTATTTTGTAGGTACTTAGTTATTAATGTTCAGAACTATTTTATACACTAAAAAGATAATAATATACCTACGTTGGAGGTAGGTACGATAAATTAAAATATCAAAATTTTTTTCATTGATACTGATGTACCTATATGTATAAGCATTGATTATAAATATAATAAGTATTAAAAAATAGTATTTATAATGAATGGTTTAAAATACATATGGAAATTGAAGTGTTAGAATGAGCATTGTAACGAGTTAGAAGCATGTAAATAAGTAAATACCTATTAATACTATAAAAATAAAAATAGGTAACTAATACGATTACATACATCTAAGGTTTTCCATGAGCATTTGCTGGTATCTACAACACTTTAAGGCGCACATTTTGCGGCAGTAACTGGTGTCACTAGTTTTAGAGTGATAAGTGATAACGAATGTCTATGGTTGATATTCTGATAAAGATAATAAATAATAATTCGTTAATACATAATATCATTACTCAAGACTCAAGTTAACTTCTTTTACATTAATTATTGCAAAGTATAATTGACATTTTGATTTCTAATTCATGCGCAATATTTTTAATCATTTGAATAATCTACATCGTTTGGTAAACTAGGCATATTAGTTAATACATATTAAGTAATCTTAATTTTTATTTTTTTCCTATAGGTACCTAATGACTTTTAAAGCAATCAGTTATATCAAGTATTTATTTTGTTTTTAATGGTTATAAAATGAGTTTGGTTCCTTGTCCGTGGTGATTCATACAACATTTATCAATTTTGAATGTGAGTAAGATTTATAACATGTTATTAATAATTGTAAAATATTATATCTGAAACTTGTAAACAATATTACATTTCTCTAGAACTTCATACTCGCAGTAATCTAGATAATACAATTGTTATAAGTTAAAACTAGGGCTAGAATTAATATAAAATAAAAAATAGTAAATTATGCAAAATTATGATAGCTAAGAAACAAAAACTAAATTTAAAAGTTTTGCTGAATGTATTAAAATCACTCGTTTGCTACAACTGATTTGTCACAATTATTATGTAATTGGTTTTTTCCATCAGTCTTAAACTATATTAGAAAACTTTTTGACATAATCCAAAGTTTTGTATTGGTGCTTAGTATTTTTGGTATTTTAAATGATAAAAATCAAAATTAATTTAATTCACTAACAATACACAATACACTTATAATACACAATGACGAATGAGTCAAAACACAAATGCTGTTGTTGTAAAATAATCTGTTGCAGTTTTACAAGTTTATCATAATTAAATTTAAATTAAATTACTAGACTTACTTACTTATATCAAAACTGGTATTTTTTGTATAGATGATATTATATTTTTTTTATCTCTTACCAACAACCTCTGCTAAAATAAACCAAAATACATGCATTTTACGTGTTATTAGTTGAAATACGCAATGATAGAAATTTTATTCAAAATACGTAAAATAAAAAAATCACTATTTGTTTTAACATGTGATTTGTGAACATAAACAAAAGCAGTAATCAGAAGTTGCAAAAAACAAAAATGCCATTGGGATATAAATCCTTGCCCTAGTTATAATTATTTCATTTCTGACGAAAAGTGAAATACTACATTTATAAATTAACTTCAAAATTAATTATTTGAAAATTGTTAATAACATTTTGTTGTATACTTTATTTTCACAGTTTACCTGGCAAAAATATAATAATACAATAACTGTATTTTCTAATAGTATTTTATAAAAGTATTTTCTACGACAGTATAAAATGTTTATAAGTTGTGAAACAAGCAATTTTGAACTCAATAAGATTTAATTAATGTCTAATAAGTTATCTGAATAATGCCATAACACCTTATTTTGTATTTTTTCTTTACTGTGATTTTCGAGGCAATCAATTATACTCAGATTTTAATAGAGATAAAATAAATTGACTTTAATTGAATTGAATTTTTATGTATTTTAAAATTCACAGTAATTCATAAAGTCAATATTAATTTGAATAGAAATTTTGGTTTTTCACTAAATATAACAATTGTGTCTATTAAGCCTGTCCGAATTGCTGTGATATTAGTTGATTGATTTACATGTGTTTTATTATTACATTAATTAATTATACTTACACTATGAATAAAATTACTGTAATAGAATATTAAAGTTGCTATAACTTTTTTTATACAAGTAAAGTATATAAAGTATATATTTTACTTTGCATTTTTATAATTTTGTATTCATAGATAATTCAAATAAATAATGATATTGGTAAATCAATACTTATACTATAATATTATTTAAGTAATCTAATTGATAAATAGTAATGGTGTCAGTATTTTTTTTTGGATATTGAATCTTAAAGTTTAAAATTTAATTTACTATAATATATGTTACAGTTAAATCCAAAATCCATTAAAACTATTTTTAACATGTCAAAATTAGTTTATTTTTTAAAGTAAACTCTAGAATCTAGATGGAATTATTCTAGACAAACTTAATCACAGGTACGTTCATTATCATCTATTTCATCAAATACAATAAATTATTAGGTATTAATCAGTAAAAATTGTTTCAGGTTTGTGGTTATTTCTTTCACAGAAATGTTCATTGCTGTAAATTCAGTTCCAGACGATAACTTTTCTCTCCGCATAGTCACAACATAAGTATTGATGGGGTTAGAAAAAGGCCTTGTGTGTTGCACAATCAAGTGCAGCCAATCACTGTTTGTGTAAAAAAAAAAAAGATACTTCATAACTTTAAATGCTATGATAGTTTACACTGCTGAATCAAATAACAAAGTTAAATTATTAATTTAAAGTAATATATTTCTATTCTTCCTTAGTTTTAGTTTTCACCAATGTTATTTTAGATACAACTGTTTTAATTAAAATAAGTAAGTTACAATTAGTTTCCATCTTAAAAGTAGTTTTAAGAATTTAAAATTTAGATTTAATGAAAGAGGATTGTGAAAACTTGTTATGACAGATTTTGGATTTTGATTGTAAAATTCAATATTTATTATAAACTGTTTAATGCTTAATTTAATTATAAATTATTAATAAATTATTATTACTTTAAATTATTTGTATTATTAATATTGTATAAAATAAGGTAGGAAGCCACTAAAAATTTGATAGGTCACGAGTAATAGTAGTGTAATATATAAAATAACTGTTGAGTATGTTTTAATAGTACTGAGTAATCAAATAAATACTCTCTAGTTACTATTCAATGTCTCTGTGATTGCCAAATTTCAGGCATAAAAAACATAAAAATATTGAATTTAGTAATAATATTGTCAGCTGTGGTCTGTACCTTACACTAGCTTTTTTACTTAATCAATACCATTTTATGTCTATAGACAAAGAAAAATTTGGTATCTGTAACAATAAATTATCAATATACATATTAAATAACTCATGGTTACGTTATGATAAGAATATCAAGTCTTAGATTTTGATCTATAGAGTTATTTTTATAGATGATGTGTATTGTTTTGGACTTATTAATTTAACTAAAGTTATTCATAGATACTTACATTAAGATCTATTTTGTTTAGTATGATTTTTAATCTGTTTTCTTAAGTTTATGCATCATAAATAACTAAACTATAGAAATCATAAGATATTTTTAAAGACTCTTAAGACTTATTCAATGTAATTAAAACTGGTAAAGTTATTTTATGATTGATTAGATTGTGTGATTTGGTTATATTGTGTTAACACAAAAATAATAACATAATTGTGAGGATACGGTCTAGGAAAGGGTAATATGGACACAATGTTTAAGAGAGCCCAAAATATAGATTTTTCAGGTGTAATATTCTATAGTTACTAAGTTTCTTAGCATCTACACATTAGAACTAATGAACATTATCATAATACTTGAAGGTTTTACATTATAACTATATGAAAATGTATTTTATTTAAATATATTATTATTTCAATTCTATTCTAAATATTTATGATATATTATTATTTAATCTTCACTTCCTGTTAGCATCATAATATATTTTGTTTGTTGATAGTTCAGTTCACAATACATATTATAACTTACTGCGTAATAAATTAGTAAAATTTTGTGATTTACATGTCAATATATATATATATATATATATATATATATAAATTAAAGGTAACTGAATTAAAAGTTTTTGAATTGTTATAAAATTGGTAATTTTGTTCCTAAGTTAATTTTTACATAAATTCATTAACTGTGTAATTAACTAAATAATGTACATGCCATTTGGTGGCCATTACATGTTTATTTGGGAAGTAATCAATTATAAATGAAAATCTTAGGTATAAGCTAATAAAAAATTAAATAATAATATTAAACTTTTATTAAGTTAGTAGTTAAAATCATAAGTTGTACATTTATTATTAATTTATTGTAAAACAAATTACCTGCAAGTGAAATTTTAATATATATTTTTACCTTATAGTGACTATCAAATAAAAAATAGCTCATAATACCTTTAAATATTAGCTTTTCCATAACATTATGATTTATGCTATGATTATTTGGTATTATTATTCTTACTTCTTCAATGAAAAATAAAATGTATAAACTTATCATCAACATTATAAGTGGCTAGTTAATATATTTTTTTAACTTCTCTGTATACCTATTGCTTTGTTTTAAACCTAAGTTTAGCATTTTCATACCTATATTATGAGTTTGAATTAATATTATAGAATTTATTTAATATAATAAACTATCAACATATTTATATTTTCTTTATAATTCATTATTTTTAATGTGTACAACACAAATAAACATTAATTTGTCTATAATTGAACATAAATATATTAATATTTACTTTGAGTATCCATAAAATATATTATTTATACATTTATCAAAAGAAAGTTTAAAAGTTTTTTACAAAACAATATGATGCATGTTGAGTTATTCAAACATTTAAAAATAAGTTTATATATAGTAATTTTAGTATCTTTATTAAAATATCGAAAATGCATAATATACAAAAATGTATGACTTTACATTTCATGTTATAATATATTTGATATTGTAAAATAATATTTTCTAATACTCAGAAAATGATAATATTATTATATTCATATACACAATTCTAGAAAAATTAAATTAATTAAAAAATTGATGTATTGTGATTAAATCTTTTTGCTATGTTATGTATTACATATTAAATTATAATATTGGTTGCTTACCATTCTTCGTCCTGAATTTTAAGATCATTATATTTATCGTTCTACTCAAAATTTAAAATATTATTAATAATGAAATCAAATTTGTATAAAAATCTGCAACCAATTGGGTGGTTAAGTCAACTGATAAGCTATTATATTTAAAATTCTTAATCTTTTAAAACAGAATAGAAAGTGTATTAATACACTTAATTAGCTTGACTTAATTTATTCGTAATTATCTATTATTCTATTAATTGTAAAGGAAGGTAAATAAAGGATTTATTATTGTTTAGCTTACAAATGATTTTAATATTGTATGATACACAAATAAAAGTTTTGTTAATTAATACAACATAATATTATATTCATTTTAGTTTTTATTAACTATATAATGAATAACATCAGAAAATGTTTAACCTTTATTATAAATTAACTTAAGTAACAATATTTTCTCTCTAATGAAATAAAACAATTTTTAATTTTTAATTTATATAATCTATTATACTTACTAAACTACTTAACTTAATTGTAAATTCATACATAATAATTTAAGTGCACAGAAGTTTGAAAACAATAATTTTACATGATAAACTTTTATGTTTTAAATAACTAATAATAATCATTACAATAATATAAGGTGCCTATGTATATAAACAATGTATAAAAGTTTATTTCTTATTGTTCAAATAGGTATTTGAAATACTTTAAATTTTATCAGCAATAATTCTGTAGGTATCTCGTTATATACAACCATGTTTTTTTACATTTTCTTGTATAAATGATTAAGTGTTAATGTTTAGATAGGTAATTAAAATAATAAAATGTAGGTTAAGTACCTAGTGTTAATTTCATTGCATATAATATTTTGATATATTTTTTTTTAATATTTTTTAATACTTTTAAGTTATAAGTATTGGACATATGTGCATACACAAATTCATATATAATATGAATATATACATGTAAACTTTGGTTTTGGTAGGTATTGAATGAATAGCTCTTGTTTTATTAGTTGATATGAATTATTTGATGTCCAACAAGTGTAGGTAAATCATTAACATTTAACAATGTTGGCACCAGCATTTATTTTGTATGATTTAATTGAATAGAACCTTACTATTGTGGTGTAGGTACCGCTAATTCACACAGAGGATAGTTGTTTGATAGCTTGTTGAGATTTGAATTCAAAACAAAATCTAACAAGCACTTTTTTTAAATTTAATGTTTTCTTAAATTTTCAACATTTTGTTATTATCTATCAAACTAACCATTATAATATCAAATAAGTATAGTTATATATTGTCATTTAAATTTATCTAATTGTCCAAACTTCTATTATTACCTATATCATATGCATTTACAAACTATATTAAAATATATACATATTGTATAGGTACAAGTAGTACAACACACATATTATGTTGTCCCACGTGAATATTTTTAGTGGGACACATTATCTTGTTAATAACAACATTAAAAAAAACATAATATTATTATATGTACTTATAATAAATAATAATATAATATTAATAAATTATAATGCTTAAAATGTAATACTTTTTTTTTTTTTTCATGAAATAAAATTTTACTATTTACGGATATCTAATAGATTGGCACCTATAACACTTAAAACTAAGTACACATATTAATTATTAATCAAAGCTTCTATCATGTAGGTACAATTATGATTTAAAACAGTTTATTTTTATTAATTTACTTTTAAAAGTATTTAATGCATACAAACATAAAAAAAATTATAGTAATATATTATTAAGGCTATCATAGTTTTAATACTAATGGCTATATATATATATATATATAAAACAATATATTATTAGTTAAAATTTATAAAATGTATAACTAAAGCACCTATTATGTTTAAAGTTTTTTCTTTAAAATGGATAACATGATTTTTCTTTATATAAGATTAGGTATGAGTATAATTAATTTAAAGGCAATAAACCAAAATAAATTGCCGAAAACAATTAAACAATTAAAATAACTAATAAATATTTTAATTAACATTGATAAATTTAATATAACTGAGTAACTATAATTTTAGAGTTATTTCAAGCTAGGCAGTAAATAAATAAGTATAAATAAAATTAATGAATTTTATTGAATAAGGAGATATTACTACATTAGTTAATAAAAGTTTAATACCAATTTAAAAAATTACTTGAAATAAAATGTTTGAATTAATATGAAAATTTCGTAGGTTTTTGCATTTAATACTTAAAGTATGATAATTAATTTAAAAGCTATTGCAACCATATTTAGGAAACAATTTAAAAATGCATTAATTATAATCTATAGATTGGCTTGATCTGTATAATTTTATTACAAAAAAAGGTTTTTATAGAAGCAGTTTTATGATGATTTTTTAAAATAAAAATTGATAATGTTACGTATTTTTTATTGTTTATTATTTTCACGCAGAGACTATAGTACTTTATGGTTTTTTTTTTATTTTATTTTAGTTCAGTCTCTAAAAGAACAGAAATTTGGTTTGGCTATTGAAAATTAAAAATAAATGTTTTTATTATAAATTATAATACCTCAATTTTTATTATTGTAAGCAATTCAATTATATTTTATGCACTATTTTAGATAAATTAATCATAACGATTTTAACTCGAATAATTACTTTATGTACATTCAAAGTGTTAGTTTTGGTTTTAACGATATTTAAATAAAGGTTTCAATCGGTTATGTTAAAATAAATTTTAACTTGGAAATCATATTGAAAGTTTGTATTATACACACACGTTATATGCATAAAAATATATGTCATAACAATAT